TGTGCCCTTGAAGAGGACCTGACCAATTCCCAGCAACCACATCAGGTGATCAAGGCCTGTAGCTCCAGCTTCAGGGGCTCTGTCGCCCTCTGCTGGTCTCCACGAGCACTCGCATGCATTTGCACAGACAGACATAATTAGAAGTGCAATACATCTTTAAATTTCATTCTCTCTCATTAGTAAGTATATGTTTAACTACGGTTGCAATTGCTGGGTGGGAGGTCTATCAAATCTGTTAGATAAAACTGAAACTTTGTATCCTTTGACAAATGTCATTCCTTCCATCAGTTTTTAGACCCTGATACCACCTTGGTACTTGCTTCTACTGCTTACGTTCTCTCTCTCTCTCTCTCTCTCTCTCTCTCTCTCTCTCTCTCTCTCTCTCTCTCTCTCTCTCTCTCTCTCTCTCTCTCTCTCTCTCTCTCTCTCTCTCTCTCTCTCTCTCTCTCTCTCCTCTCTTTCTCTCTCTCTTTCTTTTCTCTCTTTCTCTTCCTTCCTTCTTTCCTTCCTTCCTTCCTTCCTTCCCTCCCTCCTCCTTCTCTCTGTCTCTCTCTTTCTCTCTCTCTCTCTTTTTAGGGGGGTGTTCTTGAGACAGGGTTTCTCTGTAGCTTTGGAGCCTATACGAGAATTAGCTCTCTATAGATCAGGCTGGCCTTGAACTCGAAGAGATCCGCCTGCCTCTGGCTCACCAGTGCTGGGATTAAAGGTGTGCACCACCACCACTCAGCCTGACTTGCTTTTTTTTCAAATGCCACATGTCAGGGCAGCTCTTCAGCTGGTCATATGATTTCATACCCCCACCAATTTTGTGGCACTGTAATAGAACACCTGATACTGGGTAACGTATACAGAATAGAGTTCATGATTCTGCTGGCTGGAGAATGCAAAAAGCATGGTGGAAGAGTCTGGAAAGTTTGGTGGCAGTCTCCTGCCTGGGACTCGGGGCACATGATGACAAAAGGAGAAAAGAACCTGGGCCAAACCGATGTTGATTCTTCTTTACCTGATGTTAATTCTTCTTTACGTATATGGCAAAATTCATCAATAAAGACATTATGTTCTGAGCTTTTCTTTGGGGGAAGTATTATTCATATTCTTCTTATTATTGAATCAATCATCTTGCAAATTTCTGACCTCTTCCGATTTTTATAATTTTGCCTTGTAGTAATGGATTTCTGGAAATTTGTTAATTTACTCTAAGTTGAGGTCATTTTTTACAGTAGTCTCATATTTTGTATTTGTTTTAGATTAATTATAGCATCCCCTCTTTCATTTATGCTTTTGTTTATGTGACTCTTATTTCAGAGTTCACCAAACAGTTTCTCAATTTTATCTGTTCAAGAAAAGAGAAAAGGAAGGAAGGAAGGAAGGAAGGAAGGAAGGAAGGAAGGAAGGAAGAAAGAAAGAAAGAAAGAAAGAAAGAAAGAAAGAACAGTTCAGTACTTCTGATTCCCCCCTTGCTTTCCTGATATTCATTTCTGTTGATTCTGGGCTTAGCTTTAAATATAAAGGTAGATTTATTTTTTAGTTCTTTCTTTTTTAATGAAAACTTTATTTCTTCAACCCCCTTCTTTATTGGATCTATTTTTGTTGCACTACATACATTTGGGTGAGCTGCATTTCCACTTTTGTCTCAAAATATTATTTTGTTCATTTTCAACTTTTTTCTTTGACACACTGGTTTTTCCAGAATCTACCAGTTTTCATATATCTGTGACTTGTTCCCATTTCCTCCAGTGCTGATTTCTGGTTCCCTGTTGCTGTGTTGAGAGAGACCCTTGATGTGGTTTCAGCCTTCCGTATTAGCTGAGACTTTGGTTTAATACGCAGTCTGTCCTAGCGTATATCCCATGTGTGCTTCAACAGTTGTGCTCTCTGTTGTGGAGACAAGTGCTCTGGGCATGCGTGGAAATGTTTTCTATGTGCACCGGAGAGCAGTGTTGACCAATGTTTAGTTTATTTATCCTGTGTCTGAATGATCTGTCCTTGTTGAATACTTACTGCTCTCTGCTTCTTCCTTTGGTTCTGTTAATATTTTATGTACCTAGGTGATGTTATGTTGACTACATCCATATTTACAGCCAATGAGTCCTTTGGATGAGCCACCTGTTTTATTATTATGTACACGAGTTCCCTTTTCACAAAGGCTGCTTTCTAGGATCATCAATGAATGCCTGAAATACAGATGGTCCTGACTCCATGTATACTGAACACTGTGATGCCATGACCCTTGATCTGGTACCCGAGGAAGCCACTGAGTGAATGTGGGTGGTGCATACAGCACGGACATGCTGGACGAGAGGATGACATGTGGAGATGGGAAAGTTGGCATAGGGTTTCACCCAGCCAGCCATTCTATGAATTATGATTGGAAATGTATCTATCTGATCACACTTTATAGTCGTGAAGGATCTATTACTTTATTGTATTCACTGTTTTTTATGAGTTTTTCTTTATGTTTTATGTGTGTTTCAGTTTCTTTATGGTTATTGTAAAGAATGCATAAAACATCTTATCTGTTACAAGTTAGAAACCATCTACATTTAAACTTACTACATGGAATGGACCAATTTTGTTTTATTATTTTACTTTGTGTGTGTGTGTGTATGATTGTATCTCATTACATATCCAAAGTTGTTTATAATTGATGCCTCTACCTCCACATCCTGAAAGTTTGGATAGCAAGTTTATATTTGCACATTCCTATAAAGATATGTATATTTTTAAATAAACATAATCATATGATTTTAATATTCACTTATAATATAACTAAAACATAATTAGATTACTTGTGTAAAGATGTTCTTTATAAATTTTATAGGAGCATAATCTTAAATTTATTGAAACTATACATTTTAGTCCTTGTCATATTCAATTATTAGTCATTGCCATTACTAACCTAATATGATTATTCATTTTATAAAATAGAGCTTAAATGCAAGCTTCTAGTTTCATATCCATTTACTCCAGATGAAAATCTGTGTTCACCAATAGATATGTTTAATTCTGGATTTGAATGACTCAAATTAAATTACATTATCTTAGCAAAAAAAAAAAAAGAAACCATCTACAGTTTAAACCTGTTGTACTGTCGTGGATTGCCGTCCTGGCTTGCACTAAGAACTCCACTAATTGTCTCATGAACTTCCTGTGTATGTAAAAGCTGCAGTTCTCTCACTGTTTCTGAAACTGTCTCTTCATTTTTGACTCCTGAGAGATCAAATATAATGTGTACTAATGAGACATTTTTGCAATTATCTATTTATATCTAGATAATTTTTGTCATATTTGAGAAATCTTTTTGGTTAGTGTTTCTTCAAAGATTTCCATCCATTCTTCTGGGATTATAAGACTGGAAAATTGCATGGAGGTGTTGTATATGGATTCTAGGTTTTCTTTAGTATACAAAATTCCCTTTTCACTTGTGTGCTGCTTCCTGATTTTGTTTAGTGGTTGACTGTATTCACCTGCAGTTCGCTTAACCTCTTCTAGACAGTTTTGAATCCTTTTTAAAAGATTTTTATTTTATTTTGGTTAGTCATTGATTGTATTCACTTGTAGTTCACTGAGCCTCACCTAGACACTTGTTTTGATTTCTATTTGAAGGGTTTTATTCTTAATTATTGTGTATGTGTGTCTCTGTGTAGGGGTCCATGCACAATGAGTGTAGAGACATCAGATCTGCCGGAACAGGAGGTGCAGGTGCTTGTCAGCCTCATCCTGAGTGTGCTAGCCACTGAACTCAGGGCCCCTGCAAGGGCAGTGCATGTTCTCAATCATCACACCATTTCCCCAGCCCCTACGTCAAGTTCGTAATCAGGCAATCAGCTGGCCCTCATTTATTTATGGTCATATATGGATTCTTGGCTTTTTTTCTTTTGGCAATATTTTTTTCTGATAATTTGTGATTTTTTTCTGACTTTGTGCTGATGTATGCACTTTTAAATGAAAAGCCATTTTAAATAATTTTTAATACTTATTATTCATCTATTGTGTAAATATGTGCGTGCAGATGTGCACACTCAGACATGTGGGTGTGGAGGTCAAAGGACACCTTTTGGGAGTTGGCTGCCTCCCTCCTATGTGTAGGTTCTGAGGATTGAACTCATATCCTTGAACTTGATGTCAAATGCCTTTATCCACTGAGATACTTTTCAAGCCCCACAAATATTTTAGGTTTTTTTTTTTTTAAAGCTTGTTTCACCAGGCAAGTCTGTTAGTCAGACAGATAACCAATAAATTCTGGGTTAGCCAACTGTGGGGTTAGAGTTGTGTGTGTGTGAGGCTTAGATTGAACCTTGGGTTCAGAGAAAATATTCTGGCATCGGTGTCCATTGGAACGGCATTGATAGTTGAGTCCACAGGGTTCATACCTGGATCCTCAATTCAGTGGAGCCAAGATCTTACGTTTGAGGACTAACTTGAAGTGGTAACTTTGAAATAAGCCTGGAAACTGAGCCTCCAGGAGTCATGCCCATATATTCAAACCCATGGGCACAGTTTGTTCCCGATTCTACAATGACTGCCCAGGAAAAGGTACCACTGAAGTGGACCTTGTGACTGGGCCTGCAGCTATCATCCTGGAGCCTGGGACTGCAGGGGTTTGCTGGACTGATGCTGGCGTTTCCTGGGATGAGCTTTGGTGCCAAGACCTGTGAATACTGATCTTTGCATCACTGTTCTTTATCGATGCAGAGCACATCTCTTTGCTGTGCCGCCCAGGCTTGGTGGCGAGGTTTCGGGGTTAATGTGGAACGTCTACCATTGTTCAATGCATCTTTGCTTAGGTCTACATTCTCACCAGGTGCTGTAACCCATCACTTGGATTCCTTAGCACTTGGGAAGCCATTTTATTGCATGTCGAGAACTGTTCACGTGGATTCCTCTGCAACGGGAGGCCCATTGGAAACTCCATCTCCGATGTTGTGTTTGCTCAACTTCCCGGAATCGTTAACATATTAAACGGCTGAACCTGGACTGGGCTGTTCATGGACTGTATTGACAGGTTAAACTGTTGCAACTGATACCAGAGCGCAGGTCAACACTGGAGCCAAGCAAGTACTGCCTGCAGCGGCATGTTCGGGGAGCGTGGAGTTCTGATACCCTCTCCTCCAGAGCCACAGAAGCAGCTGTCCTTCCAGGTAACCACTTTCTATTATTCCGATCATTTCCTGTGTCATTTGGCATAATACGATAGTTTCCTGAGAGTTTGGAAAATCTAGAAGGGACTGTTCTTTGTTTGCACAAATATTTTGATATACAACATTTTAGAAAACAAGACTAAGGTTTTGATTGGTTTAAAAGTTTTAAGTTGGCTTGCATATTCTCAAAGATTTCCTGTATGTAGGGATTGTCGGTGATATTATTGTCCTTATTTATAATAATTTTGTGTGAGTTAAGAAAATTGATAAGTGTTTAATTATCTTTATTAACTCTCCTTACAGAATTAGTAGAAACAAAATTAACAATAAATACACTAATATAAAAATATTTAAATGCACTAATAGTAGTCCAGAGGTCTCAATTTGTATCTTAGGAAGCATGATAAATATTTCAATTTTCTATTTACAAAGTATTCCCCCCAAATCCTCACTCTCTTCCTGATTATGTACTTTGGTTTGCAACTTAGACATTTACCAAAAAAAAAAAAAAAAAAACAAAGTCTATATATTAAATTAAATTCAATACATGGTCAATATGATCTAAACCTAGCACTTACATGATATTTTTTTTTCCTTTCAAAGGATGATTTTATTCAACCAAGTGGGTTATTTCATTTCCTTGTTTGCTACAGTTTCCTGCGGTAAGTATTTTCTCTAGCAGTTGAAATAAATAGTGTGTGAGAGAGGAAGAGTTGTGTAAAACATAACACTCCTGGAGAAAGCCTTTAGTCCTACAGTCTTGGGGAAGGAGGTGGCTGCCGAGGCTTCAGGGCAAGAACTTCTCTTTAGCTCCATTGCCCCCAACACCCACGAACAATAGGGGGGACACAGGGGCAACAGGCTGTTTGTGCATTTGTTAGCAGACATTTCTGTTTAGAGATTACTCCCTGCCAGAGTCACTCCCTCCCCTATAGCTCCTTGTTTTTATTACCGGCCTTCAGAAAAACAAACTCTACCTGAAGGATGGAAAAACTATTAGACTCTATACATTGTTTGGGTCCAATTCAAATGTCTGATTGGTGTGTGATATTTTTTAATACAAGGCATAGGGAACTCTTTCTAGACTGAAGGTAAAGGCTTCAGATGTAGCTAGTGTATTATTATACACTGGGTAGTCCGGATGGAGAGCTTTTGGCTCTAGGTGTCCGTGTTCTGTCTTTCTCTGTGTATTCCATTAGATTTTAGAGAATAATGATGGCGGGCTGGAGAGATGGCTCAGAGGTTAGGAGCACTGGCTGTTCTCCCAGAGGTCCTGAGTTCAATTCCCAGCAACCACATGGTAGATCACAACCATCCATAATGAGATCTGGCTCCCTCTTCTAGCCTGAAGGCATACATGCAGGCAGAATACTGTATACATCATCATCATCATCATCATCTTCTTCATCATCATGTCTCTGAACACCCCCTCTAATCAGTCATTGTAGAGTGAGGGTTCCCCTTGCCTACAATGAGGGGTAGATTCTGGGTCAGGGGTGACTTGTGGTATGACTACACCACACGGATTGTTTTCTTGACTCTCAAGTATTTGGCAAAGAGAAAGAGCTCTGATGAAAGCCTATCCTTTTACAATGGAAGTCATTTCTTTGGGCGGGGGGAGACTTTTTTCTTCCCTATCTGCTAATTACACCTCCCTCCATCTGTCCCATCCACCCTGTCTACCTGCTCTTCTGTCACAAGCATTGCCATGTTCAAACCAGTCAAATATGGAGGAGTGATAGCCAGAGATGCTATTGACCATGGCTAAGATAAGAAAAATGACTTAAAAACAAATGTGTGTGTAGCACAGATAATAAATACAGTGTTTAGTTTAGCCATTATAAAAAAGAAAAGTGATTTAAAATTTATGCTCATGATAGAAAAATTAGAGATGCAAGCACATATAATACTTAAAATTGAATATTTTATATAGTCCCAAAGTATGAAATAACTATTGCTAAATTATTTTAGTCTTTCATATTTCTCAATGTATCTATCTGCTATAAAGTGTTGTTTACCTTACCCTTGCTATTTATAGCTAATGTTAATCCAAACAAACATTTTTGTTATCTGTTCCTCTTTTTTGTGAACATTCTATTAACATATTCAATCATTTTATCAATTAAATTTTGGGGAGTAAAAAATGTTTGATATGAAGCTATAAATACTTTTGAAGGTTTTTATGGCAACATTATGGGATTGCCTTCCTAAAAGGCGTATCTCTGGCTTTCCCAACAAGCTTCTGAGAATGTTCAACTGTCTCACATTATGGGACATTGCAAATGGTCATCTTTGTAGTTTAGCAGTCAGCTTCCTGCAAACAGGGCCCAGATTTCTTCCCGAGGAACCATCTCCAAGTTTTAATCTATGTGATCATGGGGATGCTCCTTATGCTGCTGATGGTCAGGCTGGAGCTTCTGACTCAGCCAGGCCAGAGCCAGAGCCACAGGCAGTGCTGGAGGGATGAGCTAACCAGAGTTAGTCCTGTAACATGTTTTCCCTTAGGTTTCTAGGGAAAGATTCAGATTTATTTTTATTTCCACTTGACTTGAGCTTCTGGTCTTGCTGCTGTCATGTGTCTTGAGACCAATGCATGTCCTCGCCCATGTCCCTCTGGCTCTCAAGCTGATTGCCTCTTTTTCTTTTATTATTCTTGATTATATATATACATATGCATATATGTGTATGTGTATATATATATATACACACAAAAGTGTATAAATACATCTTGGTAAGTTCATTTTATTTGTGTGCACATGGCTTGTGTGTGTATGTGTACATTGGACAACCAGTAAGTGGCTCATCTCTGGGAGAGGCTAATTCTCCTACTCCCAGAAGTCTGAGTTGCCTATAGATCTTTGTCGAGGAGCTGGACCCCATGAAATTTCCCTCTTCCATGTTACCATGTCAACTGATATTGCCTTTGTTCTGGTCTTGTTTATGCAGATGTTTTGAGGAGACTGTTTCACAGCAGATTCCCGGATATTCTAACTATCATCACCTTCCCATGCCCTCTGTCATGATATTCCCTTAGCCATAGATTCAGGATGTGTGATGTAGATGTAGCCATTGTGGCTTGTTTCCTCACATGCGTTGACCTTCACATTGCGTCCAGTTGTGGTTTTCTGTGATGGTCTCCATTTGCTGTAGAGAGAGGCTTCTGTGATGAGGGGCAACAGCTACACTTATGTAGGGAAGGTGGTTAATGCGCTGTCAGTGGCTTTCATACAGGCAGAGTCACCTATATTCCTTTGGTAAATTGTCTTTCCATATCTGCCATTTGTTATAAAAATGGTTTAGCATTCATTTATCTTGTATCTATGTCTACATATGCATGTGCACACACATGCGTGCACACATACACACACATGTGCCGTGGAGATGAGAGGACAATTTGTGTGAGAGGACACCATCATCATCATCATCATCATCATCATCATCATTGCCATTAACAACTGAGGAGGATAAACAAGTCTACAACTGGAACATTTCCAGTCCTTCTTCTTCATTGGCTGAGTCACATGCTTGTCTACCAAGACTCAATGCAAGACAGGAACTTCCAGGCCATCGCTGGTCACAGATTGTGTTTTTCTATGTCTGTGCAATGAATGGCAGAGAGTGTCTGCTCAATAATTATGAAATTCTAACTGCATTAAAAACAAGTCTCTTTATAGCTACCATTACCGCTGGGCCTACTATTGTGTTGTGCAAATGGGACACTTCAGGGTGTCCACTTGGGAACACATATTCCCAGGGGCATCTACCCAGGAAAATCTGCTCCTTCCAAATATAAACCTGACCCAAGGGGTAGGCATGGCAACAACTCTCTGATAAGAAGAGAAGCAATACTGCTAGTTTGACCAATCAAAATGGGACTTAGCAGCAGGATCTCCAGACAGAGAGAACATTAAAGATCTTAATTCTACAGTGCTTAATAAAATACATGTTGTCTAGACACCTATTCTTCGAAAAGTAATGGCCACATAGAGAGATGTTAGAGAGAGACGAACAAGGTTGCCACTGGGATACTGCATAGTTAATGGAAACCTGACTGATGAAAATGGACAGGCTACCTAAGGTGGAAAACTCAGTACAAGATTTGGGCTGATTTTTCAGGTAAACACAAATTCATGATTAAATCAATTGAGGACAACGTTTTAATGATATGTGGGATGCGGACACCGCATGTAACAGAGCCGTGAGTCAGCCCGGGAAGTGCCTTTCGGTCTGCTTTCCAGTTAGCTCCCGAGGGCTCTTCCATGTTTCTTATGTGAAAATTATTTATTTAGACTTTTCTTCTCTTTTATTGAAAATAGATTCTTCTCTCGTACAATATATCCTGATTATAGTTTTCCTTCCCTCTGCTGCTCCCAGTTTCTCCCCACCTCCCATTTTCTCCAGATCTACCCCCCTTTCTGCCTCTCAGTAGAAAAGAGTGGGCTTCTAAGAGATGATAGCCAAACATGACAAAATCCCACATAATAAGATAAAACAAAAACCGCCACATCAAAGTTGGACAAGGCAAACCAACAGAAGAACCGTAAGAGAAGGCACAAGAATCAGAGACCCACTCGTTCACACACAAATATACTAAACTTAAATCTATACTACGTATGTAAAGGACTGGGGATAGACCCATGTAGGCCTTCTGCTTGCTGCTTCAATCTCTGTGAATTCATAAGCGCCTGGCTCAACTGATTCAAAGGGCTTGGTGTGGTGTTCTCCATCCCCTCCAGCTCTTAAACTCTCCGCCTCCTCTTCTCTGGAATTCCCTAAACCCTGAGGGGAGGGGTTTAATGGAGACTTCCCATTCAGAGTGGTGTGTTCCAAGGACTCTCTCTGTGTTTGTATAATGTCTGGGTGTGGATCTCTGCAAATGCATTTTCCTTATCCAAAAATAAGCTGGTAAGGGATCAATACTCAAAAATTAGCTTGCTTGGATAAGACCGAGGCAGACAGCAGCACATAAGACTGCACGCTCAAAGGACAGGACAGGACTGAGAGTCAGAATGAGTTTATGTCCCAAGATGCTTTTCACTGTTCAATAGTAATCATACCTGAACTCTGAGGTTCAGTTATTGACTTCTTTCATGAAAATAATGGTCCAGATCTCATCTCTCCTTAAAGTGTTGAGGAATCTAGAACGATGTTGGTCCCTAAAGGGTTTTTTAAAAAATGCTGTCTATCAGTTCTTAAGATGAGATGTTTTCACACCGTGTTATACAGCAGGCAGAAGTAATCCACACTTTATTTTAGCAGGGATAGTTTATGTACAAATTATTATGTAGGTAATAAAAAAGAATCAAGTTTTCCACATTAAGTTCCCATAAGATGATTTTAAATAGCTGTGCTGTCAAAGTCCTTGGCATGATGTTTCATTCCAGCTCTGTATTTGTAAAGATCTTTAGGCAGTCATTGGGGTGAATAAAAATAACAACAAAACAGATGGAAACTGTAACCCTTTTCTCCAAATCTCCTTTTAATGGTCATATCCCAGGATGTCTAAATCAACTGTACAAAAACAGCTTCTTCCGAGGCGGGGATATAGCTGCCATCTACACCCCGGATGCCCAGTACTGTCAGAAGATGTGCACCTTCCACCCCAGGTGCCTGCTCTTCAGCTTCCTCTCAGTTGCTCCAGCCAACGATCCCGATAAAAGGTAAGAGGTGGTATTTTGTCATATCCGGTCAGACATTCCTCAAGCTACTTCCGGGTGTTTGCAAAATTGGTGTCAGGTTCCTCGAAGAGATCAAAGACCATTTTCATCAAAAGTTCCTAGACCTTTTCTTTCCAAAGCAGACGACTGGACTACTGACCACAGACACACACATCCTCAACAACCACACCTCTCACTCACAGCAGAGGGAGGCAGTGATGCTCTAGCCAGGGTCCGGAAGGAAGAGCATGCAACAAGAAAGGGTCCGTCCTCATACCATAATATTTAGCCTTTCTGGTTCACCTTTCAACATGTTCCCACATGCACTTTTGTTTATGTATATGAATATGTTATTGGCCAGGTTCTGCATATGAGGAACAACATGTGTGGTTTTTTTGTGATTCCACTTAATATTAGATAGTCAAGGTCTATCCATTTTCTCATTTTTCTTCAGCATTGAGTATCATTTCTTTACATATTTTCTGCCTTATTCATTATTTATTATACATTAACTAAAATGTATTATAAATGCCACACATAAAACAATCACACACCCATTAACCAGACCCAGAGACTGTACAAAGTCAGTGGACTTCTATCCAGTTACAGTAGCCACTTGAAAGGGAAGCCATAGAACTTCTTAGTGGACTTTATACTTTTGCTTTCAAAAATGTATTTTATTCACTTATATGTTACTTGTCCAGTAAAAGGTGAAAATTTCGCCTGCATAAAGAAATATATTTACTTGACTTATTATATTTTTGAGTAACAAAGTTGAGAATATATAAGCCAGGAATTTTGTTGATAATAGACTTAAGATCTATTGGCACATTTCAATGGTACCTGAAGTGATCCAGTTTGCACATTTAGAATGTACATTTGTGTGTGTGTGTGTGTGTGCATATGGGTGTGGATTACTATTAACTGGCAATTTTGACAAATGCAAGTATTAAAAATATAGTTGAAAGTTTTACCTTAATTTTCTTTCATTTAATCAATAGCCAAAGTGTAAATTTTCGCTTCTGTTTCCATACCTGTGACTTGCCTTCTCACTCTATCTGATTTTAAGAATTGGAAATTAGACGCTCATTCTCTAATCCCTACGTGTGAACCTGAAGAAAAACACAAACTACACATGACATTCGCTGAAGTGAAAATTGAACTAGGTGCTAGGATTCTTATGAATAGTAAACTAACACAAAGTTGATATTGAAGATAGAAAAATCCTCCCACTAGAGGGAAACTACCAGGAATCAATAAACAAGGTGAATATCACATAGAACCCCAGCTCAAAGGCGATTCAATTTTTTAAAATACTTCTAAAAATAACTGCCACTTTAGAAAATGTAGAAGTTTAAGATGGGAGAATCATAAGTTTAAGGTCTGTTTGCTTCAAAATAAACTAAATAAAAGCTGCAGGGTGGAATGGGAGGGTAGAACTGGCTGGTGGTAGAACACTTGATTAACATGCTTGAAACCCGGGGTTTCTTCTTCAGTGCCACATAAAACAGAACCAAAAGCCATTATCTTTTGGGAAGAGGATCTGTGGAAGCTCAAATGCAGGCATAGCCATCAACTCTTGAAGATGGCTGGCTCTCTGGCCTAAGGCATGAACACAAAGAAAACCCGTAGTATAGATAGAGTGGAATTGTCTTGAGAATGTCCTTTTCAGCAAGTATCAAGGAAATGCTATCAGTTTCCTGACCCCAGGCTTTATTTATTAGCACATCGAAAATGCTGAATAATGTCTTAATGTGTGTTTGTCATTACATTTTCCTTCAAAAAAAATGAACTTTTTTTTTTTAAACAAGGTTTGGTTGCTTCATGAAAGACAGCATTACAGGAACTTTGCCAAGATTGCATCGGGCAGGTGCCATTTCTGGCTATTCTTTAAAGCAGTGTGGCCATCAAATACATGGTAAGAGGTGAATTCTTTCAACAAATTTTTTCCTTTTTTCCCCCGTTTATTTATTAAAGATTTCTGTCTCTTCCCCACCACCGCCTCCCATTTCCCTCCTCCTCCCCCAATCAAGTGCCCCTCCCTCATCAGCCTAAAGAGCAATCAGGGTTCCCTGCCCTGTGGGAAGTCTAAGGACCACCCACCTCCATCCAGGTCTAGTAAGGTGAGCATCCAAACTGCCTAGGCTCCCACAAAGCCAATACGTGCAGTAGGATCAAAAACCCATTGCCATTGTTCTTGAGTTCTCAGTAGTCCTCATTGTCTGCTATGTTCAGCGAGTCCGGTTTTATCCCATGCTTTTTCAGACCCAGGCCAGCTGGCCTTGGTGAGTTCCCGCTAGATCATCCCCATTGTCTCAGTGTGTGGGTGCCCCCCTCGCGGTCCTGAGTTCCTTGCTCGTGCTCTCTCTCCTTCTGCTCCTGATTCGGACCTTGAGGTTTCTATCCAACAAAATTTGAATTACTGACACTCTTACTCAAAGCAGCTTCTGTTCATAGACTTTACTATCACAGACTTCTAAAAGAGAACACTAAGAAACATAATGAAGACGGGGCAGCATCTTGGTCATAAGAAGAGGTTCCATACATCTAGATAATGTTCTTGTCTTTATTAGTTATAATGCACAGCTTTGATGGGCCTCTGTTATCTGTGGTGCTCACACACAATGTAAGATTTGCACAAAAGAATATGCCCTTCAAACAACAGAATGTCCCTGTTTCCAGAAAAGACTTTTCAGAGAAGACTCAGGGGACAAACCATCCCCAGGTTCACTTCGGGGAAATTTGTGCCTCCCACCAGAATTGATTTTGCCCTTTCCACCTCAAAGAACATTTGTCAAAGTCTAGAGACATTTTAGATCCTTACAAGTGGAGAAGTTGGTACTCTCTATGGCAATGGCCTGAGTTGGTGTAACACATTCTGCCAGGCACAGAGCAGTAAGTCACAACTTAGAACTGTCTGGCCACCACTAGGTCATTGATAAGGGTCTAAGACAGTAATTCTCAACCTTCCTAATGCTATGACCCTTTAATATAGTCCGTCACATAGTGAAGACCTCCCAACAAAAAATTATTTTTGTTGCTACTTCATAATGGTAATTTTGCTACAGTTATGAATGTGTGACATGAATATCTGTGTTTTCCAATGTCTTTGGCTACTCATGTGAAAGGGTCATTTGGCCCTGAAAGGAACTGTGACCTACACATTGAAGACAGCTGATTTAAGAAATCGTATTGTTTGCCATTCAGCCCAGACTAAAGGATTGAGTTCTGGCAATCATGCTTAGCATAATATTTCTTACAAGGAATATGAATGCTAGGATGTTAGAAAGCTTTATTTCTGACATCCATTGCAACTGATAGGAAGCAAGTTCTACACCATCTTAAAGGCTTCATACAAAAAAGAAGACATTTTTCTAACACCACAGGGACTGACAGGAAAGTGAGCATGCCAAAAAGAGTGAGGTGGTGTGTCGGAAGAATCTTCAGAAACGTTCTGAACTATGCTGTTTTGTCTTGTCATAGTTCACGCTGTAGGTTCAAATTTCCAGAGTCCTCATTTTTATCCCAATAACATACAGTCTTGGTCTGCAACTTGAATTTTAGGTAATTAATGAAGGGTGACAATGGCTTAGATATAAACAGTACTCCCTCCAGTGTAATAGCTACAGTTAACCTGAAGCAAGATACTTTTCCTATGGTATACGACCAAATCCATATACTACTATAATGTACATTATTTGATTAAATGTGTTTATTATGATTGTAACTGATAACACAATTTTAAAGAATAGAAATATTGTGTCTTTTCCATAGGTGCTTAGTTGCCATCTTTTCCCCCTTCTTAGTCTTCCTCACCAAGTTTGACTCTAAAGTTCCTTCCTAACTTTCTCCCAAATATCATCAAGTTAAAAAGTGGTCCCAGGCTGGGCAGTTGAGGTGTAGGCCTCTAATCCTAGCACTCTGGAGTCAGAGGCAGGTGGATCTCTGTGAGTTCAAGGCCAGTCTGGTCCACAGAGAAAGTTCCAGAACAGCCAGGGCTACATGAAGAGACCCTGTCTCGGGGGAAAAAGGTTTAAAACATGGTGTCAGAAAGCAATTTTAGTCAAGACTATTGAGAGGCAGGCTTAAAATTTACAGATCATTATTAAGAAAATGTTTTTATTTGTGACTGCTTCATTTCCTGTTTTAACTACAGCAAATTTAAAGGAACCTCATTCTCTGATTTATAGATTCCTGCCCTGTATCAACTGCCAGGAGTGTTCAGCACGCTACACCCTAACATAATACTTCTCTGTTAGTCAGTGTATACATAGTCTCCATGTATAAATTAATTTTAGATTCTTAGACACTTATAGCTATGTACAATAGAATATTTTTGTGCTAACACACAGAGAGAGCTAATCTAATTAAGTTGTCTTAAAAACAAAACCTACAAGAGCCTTATTTGGCTTTCTTTCTGTTAAAAGAATTAACTATATTTTTGACATATGAGATAAACTTGAAAGGACAGGTTAAGATGGCTAAAGTGCCTTTGAAACTTCAGTGAAAGAGGTGTTTAAATGGAGTTGAAGAACATTTTTAAACCTGGTGTGCTAGCGCATGGCTAGAATCCCAGCACTAGGAAAGCAGAGGCCAAGATCATCTCAAGTTCAAAGTCATTATTTCTTTTTTTTTAAGTGGTTTTTATTTTTTTATTTTTTTTGTTTTCTTTTTTATTTTATTTATTTATTTATTTATTAAAGATTTCTGTCTCTTCCCCACCGCTGCCTCCCCTTTCCCTCCCCCTCCCCCAATCAAGTCCCCCTCCCTCTCAGCCCAAAGAGCAATCAGGGTTCCCTGCCCTGTGGGAAGTCCAAGGACCACCCACCTCCATCCAGGTCTAGTAAGATTAGCATCCACGAAACTGCCTAGGCTCCCACGAAACCAATAGGTACAGTAGGATCAAAAACCCATTGCCATTGTTCTTGAGGTCTCAGTAGTCCTCATTGTCCACTATGTTCAGCGAGACCGGTTTTAACCCGGGCTTTTTCAGACCCAGGCCAAAAATCTCCCTTCCAAAAAAAGTCCAGGACCAGATGGGTTCAACGCAGAATTCTACCAGAACTTCCAAGAAGAGCTAATACCTATACTCCTTAACGTATTTCACAATATAGAAACAGAAAAGTCATTGCCAAATTCCTTTTATGAAGCTACAGTTACCCTGATACCAAAACCACACAAAGACCCAACCAAGAAAGAGAATTACAGGCCTATCTCACTCATGAATATCGACGCAAAAATTCTCAATAAAATACTGGCAAACCGAATTCAAGAACACATTAGAAAAATTATCCATTATGATCAAGTAGGCTTCATCCCAGAGATGCAGGGCTGGTTCAACATACGCAAATCTATCAATGTAATCCACCATATAAATAGACTGAAAGAAAAAAACCATATGATCATTTCATTAGATGCGGAAAAAGCATTCGACAAAATTCAACGCCCCTTTAGGATAAAGGTCTTGGAGAGAATAGGGATACAAGGGTCATACCTAAATATAATAAAAGCTATCTACAGCAAACCGACAGCTAACATTAAATTAAATGGAGAAAAACTCAAAGTCGTTATTTCAAGTTCATCTTGTCTGATATGGGAGTTTGTCACATCCAGCATGGCTTGGGTCCTAGAAAATTGACTAGGGGTATCAGGGGAATAAGAAAGGACAGACACACGGGCCAACACGCAGAAAGGAGGGAGTGCCATGCATTGTAAGCACTGAACCCCCAAACCCCATAGTGATTACTACGTTCAGCCCAGGGGAGGGGCTCACTAGTCTCAGAGGGAGGTCTCCAATGGCAGGGAGTCTCTCCCCTTGGGCTGTCAACATCCTTGAGGAGGATGGTGAAGTTGCTGGTCTCTGCACACACTGCTCAGTTGTTCCTAAACACCGATGCTTAGACCCAGGGAAGGCTTTGCCAGTTTTCCATGGGTCTGAGGTATTGGTCCTGCACATGGCTGTGCCCACGTCAATAGACTTCATCAGCTCCTTACACATTCATTACTCAGGACTTCCTCTGGTAGCCACAGGAGTTCCAAATCAGCCAGGTCTACAAGGCAAGATGGGGTAGGGGGCAAGGCAGTGTGGTGATAGTGGTAGAATTTAAGAAAATTATAAAGCAACAAGGAAAATGGTTTTGTCATGCATATAAATAAATTCCCACCCTCTGTAAAAGATTTAGCACAGATGCCAACGGTAAGAAGACCTGCGGTCAGAAATCACAATCAGACCAGAGTAGGGGAAGGAAGGAAATAGATATAGATCATATTTTTGTCTTGTTGTTGTTTGTTTGGGGGTTTTGGTTTTGTTTTGATCCAGAAGTTAAAGGTACACCAGTTTGTCAAATCCTTCAAATCTCTGGCACCCGCTGTCAGGACCTTGTTATTTCTGCCTTGTTTCTTTATCAATGCCGCTGGTAACTTCAGTGTGAGACTGTCCTGTGGCATATACCTTGCAGGTTAGGAAGCAAAATAACCCACTTTCAGTGATGATGCGATAGAAGTCAGGTAAACACACCGGGGGTGTGCTAATGTCCAGCAGGGTTTGATAATTTAGACAATGCACTAAGAAATTTGGCCAAATGTCTCTATGTGTTTCCTTTCAGCTTGCCACCAAGACCTATATGAAGGACTTGACATGAGAGGGTCCAACTTTAATATATCTAAGACCAACAGTGTTGAAGAATGCCAGAAATTGTGCACAAACAATATTCACTGCCAATTTTTCACGTACGCTACAAATGCATTTCATAGACCGGAGTACCGGTGAGTGTGGCTGAATGGGTCCCGTGAGAACACTCCAGGATTCAATAGCTCCATGGGAAAAAAAAAAGTCTGTTTCTCCTTCAGCTAAAGAGCAAAGGGAGTAGAGTCCTGAGCATATATTTCTTATTTATATACTTAATTCCAATGGCATTTCCAAAGATAGTAAACTCCATCTGGTCTACCTATAAGCTGTGTACGGAATGAAGTGTAGTGTCTGACGATGATGTCTGCCACCCCGTTCGCACCCTAAAGGGCCCTTTGCTGAAGGGAAGAGTGTCTGTTGATTCATCCCGCCCATGTACCACTCTGGTTATCATTTCGATAGCAAATGTTACCCACACGATTTTGCGCACCTTAAGAAGCGTGGCATCTTTTGCTGACTTTCAGGAACAACTGCTTGCTGAAGCTCAGCGCCAGCGGAACGCCCACCAGCATAAAGACGCTGGATAACCTGGTATCCGGATTCTCACTGAAGGCCTGTGCCCTTTCAGAGATTGGTAATTAGAGGATGGCTGTTCCACTGTGATTGTGATGGGCTAAATGAGAGGGCCCGGACATATCCATGTGCCACGCCCAGGGACCTGGGAATACGATGCATATAAACCAAAGGGTTTATGTAGATGTGAGTGGATGGAAAAACTGTGAAATAAGAATTACTCTGGGTCACCAGAATGTGCCCTATCCAGGCTCAAGGGTCCTTATACGGTGAAGAGGGAAGCAGAGGAGTCTAAGTCAGAGATGGAAAGCCTTGAAAGGGTTGTTTCTGTCTTTAAAGCTGGAAGAATCCTAAAGCAAAGGGATGCCATGGCCATGGAAAAGGGCATGGAACAGGTCTCCCTACATGCCCTTCCAAAGGAACAGAGCCAAGCCAACCTTTTGACTGGCACTCAGTAAGGTGTACTTTGGCCTTCTGATCGCTAGGACTAAAAGAGCATACATTTGTGTTGCTTAAATCTCTAGTTTTACTGTAATATTCTTGCAATAACAGCTTTAGGAAAGTACATTGCCACTATAGAGAAAGTCGCAGGGTCATTCGACAGTGTCCATGTCTGGCTAGAAAAGAATATTGCCGTGAATCAGCAAAGCCCTATAATTTCAGACACAGAGAGAGCTTCAGTTGAACTATCCAGACAAATGCCCATCATATTTAGCACATCAAGGTACCACTGGTGAGATTTACTGAAATCAGATCACTTAGAGTAAATCGTGCCAAATACCGAATACTTGCGCTATGCCGCGTCCTGTATTGGTCTGAGTTCTGTAATATGACCTCTCTATGAAAGACAGAGACGTCCAAAGCAACTTAACTCTTTTCTTATTTGTCTTTTCTTTTCTCAACGTATCCTCTCCGTGCTGTGCCTTTCAATTGGCTTCAATGTGTTAGTTATTTAGTTTTAATATCCATTTTTTTTCTAGTTTTTGAAAACTTGACTACAAGAGATGGGGCTGTTTATTCAAATGTGTTCTGCTCTAAATAACATATTTATCTTAGACTGCTTATCTGCAACTGTGCCTGAATGCCAGATGACTGGGAAATATCTAAAGATAAAAAAGCTCTTCTGGCTCATGATTCTGCAGGCCAGGAATCTAAAGGTGGGATGGTCGTATCTGACCAAGACTCTTGCGAGTCTGGGGGCATTCAGAGATTCATCGCCAGTCTGACTCAAGTTTTGGTTTTAGTATAATAGAGACTTTTTTTTATATTAAAAGGACTGGCTGGGATCAAACCAGAGAGAGTTCCCTAGGTAAGGCCTGGCTATTGTTAGACAAGGAATTTTAAAGGCAAAAGCCACAGAGTTATAATTTTGGAAAACCAAATTAACTCATACCCTGTCTGGGTGCGGGCAAAGCTTGATTTTGTAATAGAGGTCCAGCAGGTGTGTCAGCCATCCAAGCCAGCAAGCGTTTCAGACAAAGGCAGAACATAGCAGTTAGCCTGTTTAATCTTGTGACCCATTACCTTGTAGGAATAGCCGAGAGAGTGAACTATTTTGTAACAATCAGAAATTTCTTTAGAATAGCCCAAGTGCTCCAGGAAGTGGCCCATCTCGGGCCAGCTGACAGGGTGCGGTTCAAGGTAGGAGTAACTTGGATTGAACAAGTTAAAAAACAATTTTGGTTTTACAAGCCTAGCACAGCCAGTTTATCCTCTGGACATAATTTTCATCATCATAGGACCTTATGCCGCACTACAGTACGGTACAAAAACACAGGTCAAGTGAGCATGTGTAGAAGCTTTGGCTTAAAACAACCTGCCCTTGGCATAACTGATCTAGTTCAGCGAGAGCAGGAACTCACTGGCGCAGGAAGTTTTAGTCAATTCACATGGGCTATGCTTTCTTGACTTCCCACTAGGTCATACCTCCCAACACTGCCACACTGGAAAAAAGGCAACATTAGGAGATTTTGCTGGGTGCAAACCACACCGCAGCCTTAACAGCACATTGCTCCAAGGATTTTTTTTTTTTTTTATGCATAGAGAAGAACTTACAAGATTCTTTGGTCCCGCCTCAAGCCCATCCCAGGTGCTGCCCACAGCCTCCAAGAGTATCGCGCATGCCCAGTCTCAGGCTGCTCTGTACTTGACTTTTTTGACCTGCAATGAGGTCACACATCTCTTCGGTATGATTACTGAGCGATAACAATCCTGCGCGTTTCAGAAAACGGCCATGATTTTTTTTTTAAGAGGCAGGTCTTTTTACAATCCTTGCATGCCAACCAAAGCCCCAGAAAGGCTGTCTCTGGGCCTACAGGCCTAAGTTAAATTCATAAGGCAGGGGTGACTTTTAGTCGTCACCACACCCTCGTCCTTAATCGTATCAGGCACGCCTTTAGCTTTAGGGATGAAAAATGGTAGTTCCTGGGATAAAATCATATGCTAAGGTCACATAGCAGCCCTGTCACTTAGAGTCACACAAATATCCTGCCCTCCCTTTAAAATGTTCAGCCTCTTACCTAACGACTCTAAATGAACTGTATTTAAAGACTAGTTCTCAGCAGTTTCCTTCACGGATTTCGAAAGCATTGGAGGTAACCACACCTGCCCCCATTAGTGAGTCAATACTATTTGCAATTCCAATTGAGAGAATCTTTCCACATTAATGTCATAAAATTCAGAGAGTCACACGTTCGCATACTCAGGAATCCCATAAAAACCAGTAAACTGGAAGCGTTACTGTATATGCCGAGGACCTGGTGCAGACCTGTGCAGGCCCCATGCATGTGCCTGGGACTCTCAGAATGAGATTTTAAACTCAGGATGTTAGCGCTGCGAATATTCAGTTGTCATTGCCCTGGTTACTGTGCTAAAGCACAAGCGAATTCGGCATTGTGTCACTGAGGAATGCTCTTCTTCGGTGAATTCACAGGTTGCCCCATGAATATGTTCCAGCACTTCGCCTTTGCAGACCTCGATGTGGGCCGGGTCATCGCCCCCGATGTTCTCGTGTGTCGTACCATCTGCACCTTCCACCCCACCTGCCTTTTCTTTACATTCTACACGAACGAAAGGAAGATGGAATCCGAGAAGTGAGTGTGAGCGGGGCGTGCCAGCTCCTAGCCTTAGCGGAGGCTCGCAGGTGCCTTGCTGGTTTCCCTGACAGCGGTAGAGCCTGGAGTTTAAGTGGGTGCTTCCCTGCCAGGTGCAAGTTGCTTCAGAGATTAGCAGATCCATCTACATACTTTCCCTTCATAAAGCAAACATACCATTGAGTTAAACAACAGCGGACCGGCAAAGGGATCAGACAGCTTTCTCACTAGCATTAAGGTTTTAGATTGGCTTGAGTTAGGAGCTGCTCCTTCAGCCTACCCTTTAATCTCGTGAGAAATCAGAGCCCTGCTTATCTTGATCTAGGGTCTAGTCTGACCTCTTCATCTTTCGGCATCTTCCCATTTCCTTTATGTTCAACATGGGGCCCGCAGAAGGATGTGTGTGGATACCAATACCGCAGGCAGCTTAACTCCGAACAGTTTGTTCTCTGGATCCTTTTTCTTCTTTTTCTAATTAGAGGGTGGAATTTTATCCTCTCACCTCTTCTGGTTGTCTGTGCCATCTGTTTTTTGCCAGAGGGAGAAGGGACTCCATTTACATTTAATCCCTGTGGTATTTTGGAGTCTTGCCATCTGATTGACTGAAGAGAGTTTCTCAGAATACAATCTTTGGAGTTGCATTTTAATAAAAAGAAATGGGAGCTGCGTTCCTGTAATCTGACTGACGCCTCTAACGCTTCTCTTTCTCGCTTGTTTTTAAATAGGAATGTTTGCCTTCTTAAGATGTCTAAAAGTGGTACTCCAAGTCCCTCTGTTCCTCAAGAAAATGCTATGTCTGGATACAGTCTCTTCACCTGCAGAAAAGCTCGCCCTGGTAATGACTGACAATGATGGCGAATGACGATTGTCTTAGTTTGCCTCTTGGTTGCCATGATAAACACCATGACCAAAAGCAAGTTGGGGAAGAAGAAAGTTTGTGTTGCAGAAACAGACACAGGACCTGAAGCAGAGACCATGGAGAATTGCTGCTTTTTGACTGACTCCTGGGATGGGCTCAGTTACCTATTGTTGTTGTTGTTTTTGTTGTTGTTGTTTTAATACAATTCAGGACCACCTGCCTAAAGGTGGCACAGCCCCCCAAGTGGATTGGGTCCTTATCCTTCAATCCTTAATTTAAAAAAAAAATGTCCCACAGACATGCCCACAGGTCAGTCTGTTGGAGACAGCTCTTCAGTCGCTGTTCCCTCTTTTCTGGTGACTCTATTTTGTGTCAAGTTGACAAACACTAACCGCCACGGGGTGCATCCGATCTTGGGGTCTTCTAAAAGTTGACAAAACTATTCTCAAGACACTAGGAACATTCTTATTATGGCTTATTTCCTGCCTCATTATATATCCTTGGATGTTTTTACATGCTGCAGAACCCTGCCATTTCAAAATTTACTCCGGAGTTGACTTTGGAGGAGAAGAGCTGAACGTGACCTTCGTACAAAAAGCAGATGTGTGTCAAGAGACTTGTACAAAGATGATTCGCTGCCAGTTCTTTACCTACTCATCGGTTCCACAAGACTGCAATGTGGAGGGGTGAGGGGGCCTCTTCTTTGATCACCGGCAAGGAAATTATTTTATAGTTTTCTCTGCGGGTCTAATTTTCTTCTGTTCATTTTGTCCAGGTGTAAATGTTCCTTAAGGTTATCTGTGGATGGCTCTCCAACTAGGATCACCAGCAGTGCACAGAAGATCTCCGGGTATTCTTTGCGACTGTGTAAAGCTGTGGACAGCTCTAGTGAGTGAGGATCATTTGTTAAGAAACTGTATGGAAGTCTGGGTTGTGGTGACCGATGGCTTGGTTGGTCTTACGTGATTGGGGCTATTTATTTTGTTTCCTTGGATGGAGGGGATGCTCATTTGTGTTGAATCCTGACCACGCATCTCAACGCTTTTCAGTTTGCACAACAAAAGTAAACTCACGAATTGTGGGAGGAACAAACTCTTCTTTAGGGGAGTGGCCATGGCAGGTCAGCCTGCAGGTGAAAGTGGTGTCTCAGAATCATCTGTGTGGAGGGACCATCATTGGACACCAATGGATCATAACAGCTGCCCATTGCTTTGATGGGTAAGTTTTGGATCCATCATGTGTGTGTACATGTGTACATGTTTATGTGTGCATGCTCACATGGAGGTCAACGTCAGGTGTCTTTCCTATATTGCTGACTGTTGTGGAATATTATTTTAATGAGGCAAAGATGAACTACATTTCTATGCCTAATATTACTTTTACTGTGTAAAGGCGTGTTGCTTTTGTTTATGCTGTATTTGTTTAGTTAATAAAGGTATGTTATGTTTGTTTTACCTTGCCTGCCCAAGGAACCTGATTGGTCTAATAAAAAGCTGAACAGCCAATAGCTACGCAGGAGAAAGGAAAGGCAGGGCTGGCATGCAGAGAGAATAAATAAGAGGAGAAATCTAAACCCAAAGGGAAGAAGAGGGAGAGAATCAGGATCATACCCAGGACCAGAAGCCTGGCAGATATAAGGAAGCAGTGAAAGTAAGAGATACAGAAGTAAGAAAGGTAATCAGCCCTGAGGCAAAAGGTAGATAAAGAGAAACAGCTTAATATAAGTTAAAAGAACTAGCCAGAAACATGCCTAAGCTAGACCAAGCATTCATAACTAATAATAAGTCACTGTGTCATGATTTGGAAGCTGGTCTGTGGCCCAAAAGAAACAAACCGGTACAGCTGTCCTTCTTTCTTGTTAAGACCGCGTTTCTCACTGAACCCCTTTGATCAGACTGGCTGGACAGCAACTCCCAGGGATCTGCCTGCTCTGTCTCCTGGCATGTTGGAATCTGGATTCGGGTCCTCATAACTTGTGAAGCCAGCCCTCTGCCTACCAAGCCATTTCCTTGGCTCTGACATATTTGTTTTGATGAAGAGAAACGTTTCCAAGTCTTTGCCTAAAAATTATTATTATTTTAAATTTAGTTTGTACATTTTTTTACATGGTTAAGTTAAAATTCAAACGATGGGTAGGCAGGTGTTAAGCCACAAAAGTGGCTTTAATTCAATTTCCTACTTGGCTCATCTTAATTAATATGGCAACTTGATAATTCTGATGTAATGAAAACAATTGCTTTCAGGATTGGTAAACTGAACTTGATTTCCCCACAGCTTCTTGGAAAGTGACAGAAGCAGTCCCATATTTTTATTTGTAATAAACATGAAGTAATTACATATTATATATATATGTATATGTACATATATATATATATAATATTTTCAGCCACAACTTCTAGTACTGTGAGGTGTAACCTTATTTGGACTCAGGGCAACAGAATACGGGGCTCTCAGAAATTCTGGCAACACTAAAAGGTCCCTGAATGTACACTGACCAAAATTAATTCAAATGAAACATGTGGCAAAACCAAGGCCTTCTGGAAGTCCTAGCCCGTGCTGTGTCACAGGACTCCACTGCAGCCTTTTTTTCCCTAAAACAGCACGCTTATCTCGCACTATGCACGCTGTCATGCCGTGCAGTACCAACAGATGGGTCCTGAAACACAACTCGGACTGAAGACTATTCAATGCTGTGAATCACAGTGTGTGTACCGTGTGCACAGAGCTTTCTGCTCTTACAGAAACGTAACAGTTTAATTACAAAAAAAAAAAAAACTTAAAAATGTTTCTTGTCATAGTCTGCTTTGGATTGTATAGTGTTAGACTTTAGTTTTAAATATTGTTGTTTGAACTGATTACTTGAGTTTTATTTTTTTTTAAAAAAAAATCTCATTGAATGAACTTTAGCTTGGGTATTGGATAGAATTTCCAGGTTTTTTTTTTTTTTTTTTTTTAGTGGTTCTAAGCCTACATCTGCCCTTTGGTATGAAGTGACATTCTCAGTATTGTTGATTACAAAATCAAAATATTGAGGAACTCTTAAAGTCATTGAAGATATTCTCTGCCTTTTAGTAGGAAATATTCAGACATGGTTTTATTATTTATAATAGAAGCACATTTATTCCATTAATATGTGAATTTGCTTTCATCATTAATAAATGGTAAACCTATATGTACACCAAAGAATTGTTTTAAAGTATATATATATATATATAAAACACTTATGATTACTATCAGTAAATGTTTAATATATATACCTGCATCATATAGTCACTCACACACACACACAAATGCACACACATACACAAACACACGCATGCACGCGCACACACACACAACCCTTTTCAATATAAAGGCGGTCTTAAATAAAAGTTAAAGAAGTTTTATTTTAAACTAAATCTTCAGAGATCCAACTCTAGGTGATGATAAGTTGGCAGAGGAAGAACTAGGTAATGGGGAATATTTTCTTTCTTCTTACTGTTCCCCACAAGAAAAAAGTGCTAAGAAAAATGAACAAGGAACAATGCCAATGTTACTTTGGTTTGCATGTCTCTCTCCCAGGATTCCGTACCCAGATGTGTGGCGTATCTACGGTGGGATTCTTAACCTGTCAGAGATCACAAAAGAGACATCTTTCTCTAAAATAAAAGAACTTATTATTCATCAGAACTACAAGGTCGGAGAAGGCAACTATGATATTGCCCTAATAAAGCTCCAGACGCCCTTGAATTACACTGGTATGCAGCACATTTTAAGGGAGGACTGCACAACTGAGTTGTATCGGTGCCAATTCCTGCTTCAGTTTGAGTGAGCAAACAGATCTGCCGCTGTTGTTTTCTGGTTGGTGGGGTTGAGGGAGAGGCGAGGCAGCCTGGGAAGTGAAGATCCTGAGATTTGCCATGCAATTACTGCTTCTTAATGGGCAAGGAATCTTAGTAACTTTCTCAGCGTGGTATGGAGCTGCGTGCATGCTAATGAAAGAGGTATAGGAAAGCTCTTGCTGTCTGGGGACACTGGGCATCTTTTGACGGGATTGGCAGAATTACCATTGCTTGGACTTGGGATAGACAATTATGTCTCAAAGCTAATTAATTGCTAAGAACACACTGGGTAGACAATGGGCAAAGTGGAGCGTGTCACTGCCTTTGGAGGTACACCACTCCACAGAAACTAAATGCCTACCAGCACCTTAACTGTGAGCGTCAACCCTGTAACCTCCGACAGCTCGCCCTTCCACTGCTCATATCTGCTGTAGGTGTGCTGGTCTCCTCGTTGCTTTGCTGCAATAATTAAGTAAGGTATTCAATTAAATCACTGGAAAAGCATGGCTATTTTTACTCTGACTCTGAATTCTGCCAGAGTATATATTAAACAAAACACAAGAATGCAGATATGTTTGTCAAGAAATTTTGGGGGAGGAGCTCCCCTCCCTGGGGGAAGTTTCATGCCAGAAAACCAAACAAAAATGGAAGAATTGCCTTGGATCGTGGGCTTTAGAAGTTGATCAGAAGGCTGGAGGCTGTTCTCGTTACTCTTTAGTTTCAGTAATGAGCTCCCTTATGTTTCATGCATGGCCATGGTGTGTTTTGATTGCATTTCCCTCCCTTCCCCCTTCCTTGTCCTTTCCCACTCTTCCTCCCAATTCGTCCCAGAAGGCTCCTTCTTGCTATGTTGCTTTGTAGAAAACGAATAAGGGAAAAGAGAGAGAGATTAATTTTTAAAGTCAATATCTATGGCTTTAATTAATTCTAATCTATTCATGCAATTTCCTTCCAGAATTCCAAAAACCGATATGCCTGCCTTCCAAGGATGACACAAATACAATTTATACCAACTGCTGGGTGACTGGATGGGGCTACACAAAGGAAGGAGGTACAGCATGACATTTGGAATGTTCCTGTCCTAAATGTTAAAGCACATGGAGTAGATCAGTTCCTCAACCATCCTTTCTCTTGATCTTTGTGTTTATCCCAATATATTGGTTTTCTGATTCACAAAACTCATGCTTTAAGCATCTTACTCATAATAGAGATTATGTTGGCGATTCTGCATAAGGGACTGTGCATAAGGGCTCTTAAGACTTATAAAGACAAACCCATTTGGCCACCATACTTTCCCACGAGGCTTTGTTGTTATTTTTCAAGAACTACAACTCCCAGCATCCCAAGAAGTTACCTGGCGCTTGGGTCTGTTGGGCTTACAGGTTACCTTAGGGTATTCCACAACAGGAGGACGGTAAAGACAATAGAAACCATGTCTGTGGTAGCTTGGGTGATAGGGCTGCTGAAAAGCTTCATTAGAAGGAAAGAAATACAAATGGCTATCTCGTCGTCTCCCTGTCCCTTTCCCTGTCCCTGTTGCTCCTCTTCTCTCTCTTCCTCCCCCTCCTCTTCTTCCTCTTCCCCCACTCTTCTCCTTACACCTCTTTCTTTCTCTTTCTCTCTACCCTTCCCTCTCATTTCTGTATGTATAATTCTACCTCATTGACAGTGGCCCTGACAAAAAAGCACTGACAGTTTTTGAACAAAAATATGACCCCAGTGGAAAGTGGACCATTTTGACTTCCTTTAAAACTCTGGTCTGATTTTTTTTCTGTTTATTGTATTTTCTCCTTTTAAAAGGTCTATCTTGATTGCTTCATAGGTGAAATCCAAAATACTCTACAAAAGGCAACGATTCCTTTGGTACCAAATGAAGAATGCCAGAAAAAATATAGAAATTATGTTATAACCAAGCAGATGATCTGTGCCGGCTACAAAGAAGGTGGGACAGACGCTTGTAAGGTAATGTATCAGACTGTGAAAAACACACGGCTGTGCACTGGAGACAGTTCATTCAAAAGCAAATTCCCAACGTTACAGTCTGCTAGTTTTAGTTTTGAATTCGGAGTTAAATGATCTGAAAACTTTATAAATAACTTTTAACAAATAAGCACAATAATTCTTATCATGTATTACTTATAATAGGTACATCAGAATCTGTATTGACTAGGGCCGGCACGTCACAAGCAGTACAGCTACATGCTTTATTTTATGTGTCAGGGTTATGCTAAAATACAAGAAAAGTAGGTTTATTTGAACGTCGGTAAAGATGCTAACATTGTTGGGTTTATCCGAGAACGGGAAAGGGAATAAATTAGCCTTGTAACCAGCCACTTATTTTGTTCATGGCTAATGGGATGCCAGGACATTCAGAGACCGCATGTGTGGTGTGCAAAGTGTGCCTGAAGATGTTAGCAGCATCTGTCTTTGAACAAGGGGCTGGCTCCTCAGTTGAATCACCCCTGTTGTAACTCTCTACCATTGCTTTTCTCCTCCCACTGTGACCCAGGGAGATTCTGGCGGCCCCTTAGTTTGCAAACACAATGGAATATGGCAGCTGGTGGGTATCACCAGCTGGGGTGAAGGCTGTGCCCGCAGAGATCACCCAGGAGTCTACACTAAGGTTGCCGAGTACGTGGACTGGATCCTGGAGAAGACACAACACAGTGGCCGAAGCCCCCTGGAGGTGTCTCCCGCATGAGGAAGCTGGGTAGTGAGGAAGAGCTCGGTTGACAACCGTTGTACCACCTGCTCCCAAGTCAAACAGAGAGCCCCAGAATTCTCTTCTGCAAAATGTGGATAATGGTGTCTGCCTCGCATCCCTATTGTGGGATTAAAATCACAGTATAGATACAGTTTCTGAAGACAGTGTCTTGCAGAAGTATGTCTCCCACCTTGAGTAACAGGGTCTCTAAACGTGAACCGTCCAAGAAGCATCATGCTTGTTTGCAAATAAAATGATCAAAGTTGTTTTTTTTTTCTAATTAGGTAGTTCAATGGTTGATCTGAAGCAGCTGAAAACAAGATTCTAGCACAATGCCTGAGATCATTCTCATCTAACTTCTGACTCTAGACCCCGCAGATCTCAGAGTTACCTTCTGTCCACGCCACTCATTCCTTCATTAGTCCCCAACGCTGTTGTTCCATCTGGCTCAAAGGACTGACGAACCAGGTTCTGTCTGGTGGAAGGAGGAGACCTTTGTGACATTTTTTTTTAATGATAAAAGGATGGCTTACTTGCACATGAGGTGACAGGGCACCTTTCCATCTAAACCACCTTCCTGGCCATTGCCACATAGTCTTGGCTACCTGTACGTGCAGCACCTGTAATGCTGTTTTTCTTGCTGTGTGCAGCTCCTGCATTGGCTGATCACGCAGTGCTCACACAGGGCAGGGAATCTGTTGGGAATCTCCCAGACAACCCTTGGAGTGCCACTGATACTGCATTCAGTATATGCAATAGTATTATTGAATATAACGTAAAATCCAGGCTTGCAACTGGGTGGAAAGATAGTAGACTGTCTTGGAATAGATGCCATTAATCCTCACGTAATACAAATTCCCAGCTTGCCAGCAATTCCTGGAGTGGACTGTATGTGCATAACTCCATTTAGTTAAGCTGACAAATATTTACATGGAATTGGCCATTTACAAACTATTGCACAAGTTCAATAGACAAACAGAAAAGTGAAATTTTCTGTAGAGGATTAAACTTTTCCTTGCATGTTGAAAGACTTGTTGAGTAGTTCAGGGGATTAAATATGGAAAAGCTAATGGGTTAGCCACAGAATTTGGCGATGGAAAGTGAAGAGGTAGGAATTACCCCGGGAGCAAATGACTTTTGGAAGATCTCACTGGATCCCTATGACATGATTTCCTTTTGAAGCACATGGCTTGAACTTTTACTTTTGTACACAATAAACAGTTTTGTCTTATGCTGTGTGGAAGTTGTTTTCTACTTAAAAGGGAAGAAGTGGTTTGTAGTGAAAATCTTGTTTTTCAGGTTCTGGTATTGGTAACTCTAGCAGGTGTTAGCAGAGCTTACTGTGTGCATTCTCAAAGAATGGCCTCGTTTGGGCAAAGCAGCGTTTTGAAATATGAGGCTCTCCCGTGGTATAAAGTATCATTATAAAGTTGCCAGTTGGGGGTCAGTTGGACTGGAATGTTCTATTTATTTTTTATCATGTGTTCATACGCCAAGTAAACAAAGGAGCCTCGTGGGTCTCATATGTGCTTAAGAGGCTGAAAGAGAGAGAGGGTGAATAATGTCACTTTCATGTGAGGGCACAAGGCCCTAGATCTTTGGCAGATCCACCCAAGAAAGGGCATGTCAGCTCCGAGGAAGAGCCGTCCCTCTTCCGGTGTCATGTGTGGGGAACACAGAGCACATTGCTCATTGCGTTCTAGAGCTCAGCCCAAAGCTCCAAGGGCTGCCTCTTACCTTTATCTTTTTTCCCTTATAATTCTTGTTTACACCTCTCTGCTCTACTAAACTATTAGCAACTGAAAAAGGGTCTGCCTGTCGCTCTCTTCCATCAGCACAGCACATGGTTAGGGATGTAGCAATTATCTTCTTTTAGATTTCCTTTTATCATTTCTGTTGATGTGCATGTGTGATGGTGTGCTATGTGGGCAGCGGTGCCTGGCAACAACAGATCAAAACATAGTACCTGAGTTAAATGCAACTGGTTTCTAACATAGCAAGGCAAATGGAGTAGCCCTTCATGCCATGATCTCTTCTAAGTGACACACACACAAGCATGCACACACACACACACACACACACACACATATTCGTGCATACAGACAACATACCCCCTCAGGAAGTTGTTCACCTTAACTTTGTGCCCTAGCAGAAATGTTTCCATGTCTCTATGGAGAATATTTCAAATTTACTATCAAGCGGATGCCTTTTTTTTATTTCCCCAGGAAGTTCTTCCTTTTCATCTCTGTTTTGTTCTTTCTATAGGAGTGTATGTGTATGTGTGTGTGTTTTAAGATTTATTTATTTTCTTTATGTATATGAGTGATCTATAGACTTTATGCCAGGAGAGGGCATCAGATCCCAATAGAGATAGTTCTGAGTCACCATGGGGTTGTTGGGAATTGAACGCAGGATCTCTGGAAGGGCAGTCAGTGCTCTTAACTGCTGAGCCCTCTCTCCAGGCCTTGTAGGAGTGTTTTAAAGGGATGCCTAGAATTTCATACCCTTGTTCATCTCTCCATAAAGGTATGACTATCTGGCAGGTTTAGAATCTATTCAGAAAGCCCCCAGCGGCACAGCTGTGACACACAGAATTGGGACAATGGGACTGTGTCTCCATGTCCCCAAATATTGAAATTCTGAAAGTCAGCAGTTTCAGAAGCTGATGTTGGCACTGTCTTTGAACTAAGTGCATGTTTCCTCTGGTACATGTGGTTTCAGCAGATCCCATTTCTTTCTGGTCTTCAGAATGATTTTTTAACTAAAGATGGATTTGTATATACGAGCTCATACTTAAGATTTTCTGTAGGAAATTGGGATCCTTTCCAGAACCTTCAATCATCTTTCTCTGAAAGTCACTTAAGTCAGACTTCAGAAAACAAAACAAAACGTGTATTTATTTATGCGTATCTGACACAAAGCACCCTCGGAAGTCAGGGGACAACCTTTAGGAATCAGGTCCTCTGTGTGTGTGTGTGCATGTGGGTGTGCGTGTGTGTATGCATGTAGGCACACATGTGTGTGTGTGTGTTTATGAGGTTTCAAGAGACCAGGAAGTAGTCTTTACAGCTAGCTCATGTTTTTGTTTTGCTTTGGAAATAGGCTCTCTCTATCTATGTGGTCCAGGCTGTCCTCCAGCTCACTATGTAGACCAAGTTGGTCTTGAACTCAGTGATCCACGTGCCTCTGCCGCCTTAGTGCTGGGATTAACAGGCTGGTATCACCGCACCTGGCTAGTTAGTATTTAATATTAAAAATGAGAGACAAGAAGGGCGGAAACAAAGCGGATGACCAAGTACCCATCAGCCACTGCTTTAGACCACAGCTCTAGTAACTTATTTTTGCTCCAGTGATGTGACCCGTAACCGAAGAAGTCTGGTAAGAGAGGACACAAAACGTCCTGTTTTCCCAAGAACACTTGATCCTTCTTGCAGCTCAAGGGGACCCCTTAGCAGAAATACAGTTGTGTGGGATGGCTTTCCTCGTTATAAATTGCAGCAAGCCCTACCCTTGGGAGGCCCCTGTGTATACAAAGTCCCTCATCCTTCAGGGACCCTCTCTGCTTTGTTATTGTCATTGGCATACGCGCAACAGCACATACCACCTTGGAGGTTGGCATTTGAGTCTCAGTGAGCCCTGACAGAAAACTTGTGAGAACCGGCTATGAGTATAGATTTCTTTTTCATTGTCAGTATTTGTGAAGAGGCAACACGTGCGCTTTGTTCCTCAGCATTAATCACATCTCCGACGGCATCTGAAAAGTTGACGTCATAAAAAAAAGAAAACCGGAAGTGCGAGGCAGGACACTCCCTGATGATCTGTGTGCTCAGCCTCTGACCCCTAGCCTCTGGCCCCCAGCCTCGAGGCCCCAGTCCCCAGTTTCCAGCTTCCAGGCCCCAGCATCCAGCCTCTAGCTCCTGACGTCTCTCCTCCCTTCGCTCTACTGCAAATCTCCAAGTCCTTCTGATTTCTGTTGTCTTTCTCTGCTCAGCTTGCAGTAGAGTTGGAATTAACGGCGCACTGCTGGCGTTTCAAAGCGTGAGCATGTATACATTTGGCAGGCAGGCAGGCACCCTCAGTCTGAGTTTGCCCAACTGCTAAGGCAAGGTCAGGTTCTCTGGCCATCTTGGTGTGCGCTGCTTGTTTGCGTACACAGTGGAAAGAAAGCACACATTTGGTGTGTTGAAAGAGCTTGCTGCTCTCCTGAGGTAGGTGAGGTACGTTTCGTTAGCAGGGACTGAAAGGACCTTCTCCGACACCAGACACGCTGAGCATGCTGTGTGAAGACAGGATGTCACATGACAAAGGAAACCAGTACAAATAATTATTTAAGGAACATTGTCCTATGCAAGCTCATTCAAAGGGGGAACAAGACTACGTTGAAGAGAGAAATCGCGCCCAACTGAGGACTGCAGCGAAGACAGAAAAAGTGCCTCCAGGTACGGCTTTAAAACTGGACATTTCTCTCAAACACGTGTCCCCTCTTCTGCAATGAGGGCTTAGCTTTTCCCGTATGGAAAGATTGATTTTTAAAAGGTATCTGATTTTACATTGTAGATACAGTTAGTCACCCTCTACAGTCAGTCAACTTGAGAGTGGAGGCAGAATGGAAGACTAGTAGCTTGTAGTCAGTAAGAGGAGTTTTTCAAGAAAAAAAAAAAAGAAAACTAAAGAGCAATACAGGAACTGGATATGAGGCTGTGTGTGTGTGTGTCGTGTGTGTGTGTGTGTGTGTTAACAGCTTTTTCAGTATTTAGTAGGGCATGTATATTTACAAGGAACCAAGACAATATGTTAACAAATTTTTAGTGTTTTTTTTTTCAGAAATAGAAATTGTAAGGAGGATAATTATTTATATATGTGTGAATATATGTATATATATACACATACATACATATATACATATATGTATGGAAATAGGGAGAGAGAGTTCAAAACTGAAAACAAAGGAAATGAGTTGGAAAAGAAAGTAAAGATGGAAAATTGGAGTAGGGAGGGGGTTATATATTTGCACTTTGAGCTCTAAAATCATTGACATTCTTCTCTTTGTAGGATGGCCTCATTATATCAAGTGGTATATTTTATCTTTTTTGTCTCAGTTTCTGATGGTAAGTGTTGCTTTATTTTTTTCCCAACATACTACTTTTATTAATTATTTGAGAATTTCATGCAATTCACCCTGATCACACTTACTTCCCCTTCCTTAAAGGTCCACCCTCACACCTTTGCGTCACCTCCCCCCGAAAAGCCTCATCAAGTCCAATTGGTGTTGCCAATGTACTCATTGGAGCACGGTCAGATTCGCAGTGGCCGGTCTTTTAAAGAACACTGAGTCCTTCCCCACCCCCTGGCAGAAGCCATCAACTGTGAAGAGCTACACCTCAGCATCTTAATCACAGCTTTTAAGGACTCTCTTTAATATTTAAATATGACCTAGAAATAGCTCATTTTCTGACCTGTAGAGTGGGAAAGAACATAAGTCTACGAAGAGAAATTGCATGCCAATCCCCACATACTGTGGATTAATTCCATACTGCTAACTCCAGGGGAGGAAGCAAAATCATTTATTTTTCCAGTCAAGACTTCTACTTAAGGGGTCCAAAGAAAGAAAGAGATATAAACACAGGATTACAAAGAGACTACGCCTATATCATCTGCGTGATGGTTACGTCTCTCTATAGACCTGCATCTTTATCTACCTGTATAACACATTGCAGTGGTACCTAAGAGCAATATTAGAAAGCTGAAGGCTTGAGTCACCTCTCTGATTAGTTTTCTATAAAGCATTCAGTCCAGCCACACACACACACACACACACCAATTCTGGGCTGAAAATGTTATCAAAATATTAATGTACAGCTTACCCATTTGGTTAATTTAGCTATTGAATTTGTTTATTAATTACTTAATATTCAGTAGACTTAATTAGCACAGCTGACACTTAATTAATATTGGTTATAACTCAATATGAATATTTTCACCCCTGCTTATTTGTTATTTAAAATGAAAATTTAAAAACTCTTTTAAAAGTAATGTATTTATGTTACATTGACTCTCTGAGACTGCCACTGGCCTTTAACCAAAGTAAATTCTTTTTGGTGTTACACATATGAAAAATGGCAAATATAGGTAGGGATTTAATAAAATAAACACTTTGCAAAAGATTAAACTATATAGTTTATAATTTAGTTTTTATTTGTGATAAGATTGCTACTCATGTTATTCCTTCATTGTCATTGTTTGAAATTCCATTTTTATTCCCTTGGTAAATTGTCAGTACTGTCTTGACATATTTGTTAGTTTTTGTCTTTTGTTTCGGTTTGTTTTGTTTTTCAAGACAGAGTTTCTCTGTGTAGGCCTGGTTGTCCTGGAACCCACTCTGTAGTCCAGGCTGGCCTCCAATTCAGAGATCCACCTGCCTCTGCCTCTGAAGTGCTGGGATTAAAGGCATGTGCCACCACGGCCCTGCCTGTCTTGACGTCTTAAACACTTAAACAATTGTGTTGATATACACACATGTTATTTATATACGTAGAAAACAGCAATAAATGCTGACCTCTAAATATGTCTTTGAATGATCCTGCATGACTTGGTCCTGGAAACCTAACTGGGGCGACTAGGGAATGAAAAAAGGATAGACACACAGACACACTCACAACGCAGCTGGGACCGGGCGGGCTGTGTTCACTCTTCTTGATGACCTCCTACCAAGACTAGCTCACACACCTCTTGTGCAGCATGTAATGAAGGTGTGCTGAGGTTCCAGGAGGTGGTGCTGTAGCCATCATCTTCAGTATGTTGACTTAGAGTCCTTCACGTATATTCTCAAGAGTCAGACAGTTCTCCTTTCAGTTTTCTGTGAAATCTCGTTAGAGATATCTGTTTTTCCTATGGCCTCACCAGCAGGGGAATTGTTCACAACAACCAAGCTAGGGAGAATGCCTAGGTCTCTGCCAATAGATGGATGTGGAAGGAAAATGCTGAACATATGAACACTGAGAGGAGGGGTTCTGTTTTTTACTGAGAAAGTTTGTTTATTAAGTTTTTATTAATTCTCTGAGAACTTCCTACATTGTATTTCGCTCATATTCACCCCTACCTCCCCAAACTCCTCCCACATCCACCCTCCATCTCATACCCCACCAAACTTTGTGTCCTCATTTTTTGATTTGGCTCCAATGAAGAATGAAGTCATGCCATTTGTATGACAATGTATCCAACTGGCGATCATGATATTAAGTGAAATAAATCCGATCGAGAAAGATGAATGTCGCGTTTCCTCAAATCTGTGGATTCTAGGCTTTATATAAGCACATAAAGTTGTGCATATATGCCATGAAAACTGAAGTGAGACTCTTTACACCCTGGAGTCTAGGGGAATGAAGGAGAAGAGGGGGAAGGAGAGAAATGGGAGGGTTTGGAGAATGAATAGAGTCAAAACACGTGATACACTTGATGCAAATGTCTGTGAGATCCATCACTAAGTACAATGGATTTATGCCAATCGACGCTGTGAGAGAATATCTACTGTCACCTCCCTTAGACATTGTCAGAGAGATCCTACTTGCCACACACGGAAGGTAAAAGGAACTGAAAGTCAGAAGGAAAGATAGAGGTTGATGTATTGTTCCTGCAAAATGTGATTACACACATAGAAAAATTCAAAGTAATGAACACACTGATTATTTTAGGTAGATCAGCAAAGAGTCTGAAGATGCGACATACTTGCAATCTCAGCGCTAAAGAGGTAGCGGGCACATTTGAGGCCCTTTCATGCAAATTCTTTGATATACAAACAGTAACCAATGTTCACCAGTACTGGGAACTATACTGAGATTATGGAAATCAATACGACAAACTAAATGATTTGAATAGTCACTATTTCCTAAGTAAAACCGCCTGTTTATTAATTCTTTAAAAGTTAATCCAAACCTGCTATGCTTCTTGGTTGTAACATTTTAAGGTGTCATGCCGGCTATGTATGAAGACATTGAATTTCTAAGTTTAGCAGACATAGTGTGAGGTAGGAACAGGCCGCTGGTGAGCTGGAAGCTGCCACCGTGTGCTTTGGTAGGAGACAATGTGGAACATGGAAAAAGTCAGCTCCACAGCTCTCTCCTGGGATACTTGTCAAGATGGAGAGAGTCATGCTCCCTGCCCAACCTCTGTTGAATTTCAGAGGCAGCTCTGTGGTGATGTTCCTCCCCTCGTAGATTCCTTCAGCAGCTACAGGCATGCTGTGGGGTCTACTCGTGGAATGATGTTTCTAAATTCATGGATTGAAAATAGATAGGCTCTTGGAGGAATTAGTTATATCAAAATATGATCAGCTAAAATGGAAAATATTCAATAAAGAACTAGGTGTGGTTCTGAGTAGGATGTTATGTGAAAAGATGTAGTGTTGAGCTGGAGAGATAGCTCAGTGGTTAAGAGCACTGCCTGCCCTTCCAAAGGTCCTGAGTTCAATTCCCAGCAACCACCTGGTGGCTCACTACCATCTGTAATGAGATCTGGTGCCCTCTTGAGGAGACCTGGTCAGTCATCCTCATCAACTTAGACCATGAAACCCAATATGGACAAGTTCATCAGAACCACCATATACGGGCTGCCCATGCATGCTTCAGTGTTGCCAGGGCATAAGTTTCATTTCTTATTTTTGTAAAACTGAATAGAAATGACTGACAAACTGGCGATGAGTCATAAGGATTCTGTTTGTTGTCATGGTGGCAGATACATCACACGACCGATAGCAGCCTAGATAAGCGCTGATATTAATAACACAAGTATGTACCGCATTTCCGTAGGGATCAATGAAAAACCAGGTGAGGATTTGTGATTTTGTTGACTGTCTAAGACCTATGAACCTCATGTGAGAGTTTCGACTGCTAGGTACCTACAATCCTCTCAAGGCATTTACTGACTGTGGTTACAACAGTTCATATTTGAGTTAGAGTTTATTCTTCCTGAAGTATTTCCACAAGAGTTTAATACTTATTTTCAATGTTACAAAGAAAAATGAACTAGCAGTCTCTCCATGAGACTATATGGCTGCAGGAAGAACTGTAACCTTTTTTTGTTTGGTTGGTTTTGGTTTTTGGAGACAGGGTTTCTCTGTAGCTTTGGAGCCTGTCTTGGAACTAGCTCTTGTAGACCAGGCTGACCTCGAACTCACAGAGATCCACCTTGCCTCAGCCTCCCGAGTGCTGGGAATAAAGGTGTGTGCCACCACCGCCCGGCAGACCTGTAAACTTTTATGCAGTCACTAGGGAACACTCCCAAAGGACACAGAGCCTATGGATTATTAAGGATCTCTTTCTAGCAACAGAGGGCTTTTAAATTTTTATGTACTCTGGCTTTTTATAAGAAAAACTTATCTGAGGTTTTAACTCAATTTGACTCAACAGGTTTTCCTGGGCTCTGTTCTTCTCACTGGTAAATGAGTCCATTTTTAACGTTAACATGACATCGTAGGAGAGGCCATGCGTCTTGGCTTTTAAGTATGTTGCAGTGTTAAAGCAATGAAGGAGGGCTTTCCTGAGGATCACATTTTACGAACCAAAGAGCTGAGCAATCACTGAATTACTGCCGCAGCCTTCCCAAAACAAAAATCACTCACAACGGTCGTGCCCCCAAGGCCAATATGTTGTTTGTGGTTTTATTTTCATCTGGGGCCGTTCACTACAGAAGCTAAGCTAACAGTGTTAATTGATCCAATGTCCAAGTTCGGGCACAGTTTACGGGAAGCAGGCGAGGTAGCGTTGACTTTATCGAATTATCTAACGGTAAGTGCCTACCAAAATCCACACTAACGTGTGCCATGTGTGTCTCATCGTAGGGTGTGTCACTAAGCTCTTCAAAGACACCTGCTTTCAAGGAGGTGACATCGGTACTGTTTTCACACCGAGTGCCAAGTACTGCCAACTGGTCTGCACCCACCACCCACGGTGCCTGCTCTTCACATTCATGCCTGAGTCATCTTCGGATGATCCTACCAAATGGTAACTCCCTATGTTTCTCTGAAGAGCAATTAATTTCAGAGGCCAGTTACTTACCACTGCCGATTGATTACCTGCACACAAATTCCCTCCTGTCAGTTTGTGAAATGTGACGTCACCAGCTGGGAAATGAGTTCTCCTTCCACTGAATTGTTAAAAATTACAGGAAGGATGAGGTCTAGGTACCTTTGTGAAAAACTGCAATGCCTCTTGAGATCTCAATGTTAAGATCATATTTTCTCTCTTCTTCTGCGTTTTTGTCTTATATTTTTGTCTTTTTGCTGCTATTGGTTAGTGGTAGTGGCTATTATCTAGAAGTGTCTTCTAGCCATTCAATTAGAAAAAAAAAAGTTTTTAAGAATAGGCCAGCTGGCCTGGGTCTGAAAAAGCCCGGGTTAAAACCAGTCATGCTGAACATAGTGGACAATGAGGACTACTGAGACCTCAAGAACAATGGCAATGGGTTTTTGATCCTACTGCACGTACTGGCTTTGTGGGAGCCTAGGCAGTTTGGATGCTCACCTTACTAGACCTGGATGGAGGTGGGTGGCCCTTGGACTTCCCACAGGGCAGGGAACCCTGATTGCTCTTTGGGCTGATGAGGGAGGGGGA